TCTCACAGCCCTGCTCCTGTCATGGCCCTGCTCCCATCCGAGCCCTGCTCCTGTCACAGCCCTGCTCCCCTCACAGCCCTGCTCCCCTCACAGCCCTGCTCCCCTCACAGCCCTGTTCCTCTCACAGTTCTGCTCCTGTCACAGCCCTGCTCCTGTCACAGCCCTGCTCCCCTCACAGCCCTGCTCCTCTCACAGCCCTCCTCTCATCCCAGCCCTGATCCTGTCACAATCCTGCTCCTCTCACAGCCCTGCTCCTCTCACAGCCCTGCTCCCCTCACAGCACACAGACCAGCCAGCATGTTAATCCAGGCCTCCATACATCAGCAAAACCATGCTAAATTAAGACATATGGACACCCATCTCTCATTACTGATAATGTATTTCCTGATTAGTAGGTGCATTAGTTTCTTTCTTTCTTTTATTTTTTTTTTTTTACTATTTTTTTTGCAGAGCAGCAGCGAGCTATAGCAGAGATAATGTGCCATGAATTCTATGGCAAAACATGGTCCGTATTGCTCCTGGATAAATTAGTCACCAAGACTGTATAATTGGGTCCTCAATTATTTATGAAGGGGTCTTTTAACAACAGTAATTTTTCCATTAATGGCAAGTAAGGATTTCATTATCTCTAACTGCACTACCTTTTTGTTCCATGCCATAGTAAATTTCAAATTTTACTTTTTTTAATGGCTATAATATATGAAGGAATTCCATCTCTGTAAAGTAATTATTCTTTTCGCCTGCCTGGGAATATAAGTGCAGGTCATTTTATTTTTGGTCTCTTAATCACCAGAAAAGCAGTAAAAGGGCTGTTCCTAGTTCTCAGCAGTGGGAACTGTTTGCTGTGATCCCTGTCCCTGGCACACTGCCTCAAACAGGGCTCAGAATGGAGGGGACACAAGTGGGTGTCCCCTTCCAGCACCAGCAGAGCCCCAGAGCCCTGCCCATCAGGAGACATGAGTTCAGGGCCTTTCAGGCTAGAAAAGGTCCTGCATCCCCTACAAGCCCTGCCAAAAATGAGTCCCACTCCTGCATATCGTTACCTCCATACTGATCCTGGTGACAACATCAAAATGTAATAAAGTCACCAAGCACCCCTCAGCACCGCCCTGGCAGCTGCTGCCCCCAGCTGGATTTCCCATCTCTGGGCTTAGTTAGGGCGGGATTTCTCCTAAATGCATTGGCATCAAGATGCSGTTGTAAATGCACAGATCAGCTAGATGATGTCCATGAGGCCTCTTTCGCCAGCATGGGCCATGAGATAAAAACACTGAGGGATTAAAAAAGGACTCAAATAATAGTGAGTGCTGCTTTGGACAGGTAGCTGCCATTCAATAGAATTGATTCCAAATAGGTCTGTTTGGTATTTGAGAAGCCATCTGGGCATCGCTGRGCCATGAGGAAATGTTATTTCACACACACACCCTCCACAACACAGGCGATAGCTTTGTCTCCGTGCACATCGCTCCTGCTCCTCAAATAAAACTCATTCCTGAACGAGCAGGTTTGTAACATAATGTTCTTCCTCCATCCGTCTACCCAGCTTTGATCAGCCAGTTATCTCTCTTGCTTTCAGCAGGACTGCTCACATTTGAGTGCCTTGCTGAATCAAGGCCTAAACATTTTGAAAGCCTGAATCAGCAGAATGCRCATCTGCTGCGGACTAATCTTACCCAGCAAGCCCCACGGCGTGCTTAACCTTAAGCCACTCTTCAGACCTATCAATGTTAATCTGAAGTGCTTTGCTGATTTGGAGCACTATAATTTTCCAGAGGACGTGTCCTCTGCTCCTTCAGATGCCAAAATTAGCCTGGGAACAGACAGGGAGGTGTGGGCAGCATCCCGAACCCAGCAGCTGGGCCGGGTTGGCTCAGCCAGGGCTGCATCCCTGGGATYGCAGCCGGCAGCTGCTGGTGCTGCCTCCAGCAGAGCAATTCCAGAGCCTGCAGACAGCGGCTATGGAGATGAGGATCTTGAGGCAAGAGAGAGGCAATCTTGAGGAGTTTTCCCCAGCTGCCTCACCGTCCCTCTGTCTCTCTGCTGGGCTGGCATCAGAGGCCYCACTCCCAGCCAGCACGCCGACTTTCGTAACAGTGAATTATAACTTGGCACTTCTGGAGCTCTCTCTAGTTCAAAGCCGTGCTGAAACATTATCTAATTAATTCACACAATAGCCCTGGAAGGCAAGAAAGGGAGGTAGGAAGCTGAGTTACTCGCCCAATGACAAACACTGAGTCAGTGGAGGAGTGGGAGGAAAACTCAAGGGCCCTGGATGTTCAGATCTGAGATGGCTTCCTTCTTGYCGCAATAGAACTTTGGTAACTTAAAAAATAGCACCTGTATATTTAATTACAATTACAGCCAGCTACTCCAAATTAATAGATTAAACAGGAAGAGAAAATGTTATCTTAATTAGCACCCCCCAAAAAAAMCCACACACTTTTTACATCTGTAGGATGTTAACCAAACCAATTAAAAAATATAAATATGCGGTATAACCAAAATTAGCAAAACCCCCTTTTGAAGACACAAATGGCAGAGGCTGCCCCACTGACAGGGCTGCTTGTGTGCCACTCTTCCTGGTCCCCACTGCAGGCGGTGGGGGCCTGGCACCACAGGAAAAGCCACCACAACCAGCCTGCCACTAGCACTGCACCTGCAGGACCAGGGCCCCACCCTCCTTTCCTCAGTACCTTTTTATTGCACAAAAAAAAAAAATGCAGAACTATAAGGGGGAAAGGGAAGGTGTTTGTTGAAATAATATGAAAATGTCACCAGCACCCTTATAGTAGGAAAGCAGACCAGTCAAGAAGAAGAAATAATACGACAGGGATTTATTCACAGAAACTGTCATTACAGGAGGCAATGGGCAATTAGAAACAGTGTTCCATAAACTCACAAGAGTAGAAATATTGTATAAAACACATTTCTAGGTGTGAGGGGTTAGAAGAGGTATATTCAAGAGATTTAATGTCATCTTTAATGTAATTTCAGAGGTCCATTAATCAGCTGGAAGGCCTTCTATAAGAATACAATTTCATTAAAATATTCAGTAGTTATAGACTGAAGAGGAAAAGGCCAACTGAAGCTAATTAACCCAAGGGAAAAACATCTGCATAGTACTCAGAGTACCTGACTGAAATGGGGGRAAGAGGGAATGGAAAGACAAAGTTGCATGAAAACTCAATTAAYAACAAATACTGCTACAAAAATAAACTGAGACAGCATTAAATACAATGTGACCTGTACATAAGGAAATATTAAAAGGGAGAAATGGAGTGCATATGTGGAGATTTTACCATTGTGAGAGGATTGTAGAAGGGGGGAAAGCTTGCTTTGAAAGCTATTTGTATGAACAGAAAAAAAACCAAATTGCTACTGCTGTGGATTAAGGCATCTATTGGTGCAAGTTAAAACATGTTTTCTAACTAGAAATTCAGGTGAAAATAATGTCATACTGCTTTGCTTTTCTGATCAGCAATTATTTAATCAGAAAGCTGTATTAGGAAAGAAATTTCTTAGTAGGATAGAGTATCTGAGTATGAAAATGTGCTGTGTGGTAGCCAACCAGTAGCTAACACATCTTTGGCTCTGGGGCTTTGCTTTTCTATCCCTGTCCTCCCCAGGGAATTTTTTTCAGAGTTTATACTATGTTGGTTCTGTTGGTCTGGCTGTGTCGTAATGATATCCATCCCCTGGAAGCCTTCCAAGGAAGTTGGTGAACAGGGGATTGCTGCACTTTGCTGTTTTATAGCCCAAATAGCTCTCAATAATTGAACATTAGYATGGTGGGAAAAGTACCAACAAAACTTTTATTGTAAATGTTCGCCTTCCTCCAGGACTTAGGGTCAAATAAATAAAGACATGCACAATTTGCATGCTGTTTTTAGCACCAGCAGTTATGAAAAATGTGGCATATGCATAGATTTTCCTTTAGCAGCTCCTTTTTCTGTCCTTCACTAACCTTTTCCTCTCCCAGTAATGGATTAGTTTTTATGTGAAGCATTTTGTAGCAGGCTGGGTCTAAAAGGTCCGCATCTCCATCAGAAAACTGCTTTACTTTCAACTAAGCAACAGTATTTTTTTCTGCATTATGGCCACACTTCCCCTCCCTTGTATGCTCAGSGGTTAGAATCCAGCTGAGCCAGGAGCTCCTCCTCCTCCAGCCCCAGTTTGGTAGGATCTGCCCTGAAMACAGAGCTCCCGTTTGCATTCCCTCCCTTCTCATGTCTCTTGGCAATCCCCGCACACRACCCTAAGGCCAAGGATGCAATGGATCAGTAGCAGCTTTTCATACATCATGCATTTGGCTAGGACAACAGCCAAGCCCCTTGCCCGTCCCCTGCCCATCATTCCCACACCAGCCTCAGCCAGGAAAGCCTCGGCCCTCTGGATTGCACCTCCTCCCTGAAGAGAGGGCTGGCAGGGACAGGAGGGCTGCCCCAAAGCCTTGGCGCTGTCCCTGCAGAGCCCTCTGACTGTGCAGGGCTGGCCCAGCTCCTCCAGGCCAAGCTGCTCATGCTGGATTTGCACAAAAATGTGATAAAATCACCACTGATGGACTTCAGTGAGTTTTATTAAATATTATTGACTTGGTCCTGCCCAAAGAAGCCCCAGTAAAAACCCCTTCCCTACAGGGCATGAAAAGGTTTTTGGGAACATGTGCCTCCCATGCCAGGCTGCAGTAGCCTTCCAAATAGAGCACCTCAATTTCCTGCACACTGTGTGCCACAAACAAAGCCTGTGTTAAACAGCCCTCCAGAAAATCAGCATTAATTAGCAGGGTGCTGCAACCCTGCAAGTGACTGCCATTTATCCCACTAATGTCAGCTCCATGCTACAGGAGCGCTTAGAATTTCTGCCATTAAAATTATTATTGGCCACAAATAAAATGTAATTGATATTCTTTCAGAAATGGAAAAGGTACGGTAGGATACTCTGCAGCATTATTAAGTAGTGCTAAATCAAAGGATGAAAATAACACTGTATTTAGCAATCARGTTTATTTTAATAGATGCAATCAGAGTCCCATGACTTACAATTCTGCCTCTGAGGGGAATGTTCTCACTGAAGAAAACATGAAAAAAAAAAGATAAAAAAACCCCAAAAGTGCACATTTAGATAGGGTACTCACTCATTCCAGAGCTGTCTGTGCTGTTTGCCAGATCTTGCACGATTTACATTTCCTTCTCAAATGTCCGTTTATGCTTCAACCTTGCTTTTCCCAAATATCCTGAGCCACCATTGGAACCACTCAGTGCAAAACAGAACCAACAYCCAGAAAATTCTGTTGTGCAGCACTTCATCGGAACTTTTAAAGTCTGTGAGTTCAGCTACTGAGTTTCTGCTCCCTGCTGTCTCTTTGTATCTGAGGGGGTCGAACGCTGTGAGCCAGGTGCCGTTGCAGAAGCAGCGGGGACTGGGTCCTGCCAGCGGTGGGGGTGCCCAGCCGGGCACGCTCAGCGCCGGCCCAGATAGCCCGAGGGGCGCCAGCCRCGGTCACAGCAGCTCGGTCACAGCCAGTGCTGCCCACGGCAGGGCCCTGCTGCAAGAGCACCCKCGGGAGCCGCTCACGGGCTGTCCCAGCCGATACCGAACCCCGAACTCRGAGCTGCCCCATGAATCACCAGCAGCGGCAGGAGACCTCACCCACACACCTCTGCTACCCGCATGGGCAGCCCTTTCCCTGTCAAACACAGACCACTTCTGCCTGCCACAGCTGCCATTCCAGGGGCAGTCACGGCTTTCTTCTGCACCAGCACCAGGCGCTGACAACGAACCAGGCAGAGGAAGAGATGAGTCAAACAAAACGCTGCCTTTTGCATGCTGCTCGAGATTGAAGCGAGGCTCCTCTACAGTGCAGCTCCTGCCTTCCTGCTGGTTGACACCACAGACTCTGCTTCCAATGTACAATCATGATATAATATTAAATAAATATATATGCACAGCATTTACAGAGAACACTCCTTTTCATTCAGTTGCTGTGGATACTCGAAGGGGAGGGATGTGTCTGGATGGCAAGATCTGCGGGAGGATGATCGCTGCTGTAGGACTCTGAGCTGCAGTAAGATGTGCTTGATCTCCAGTGGCGTAAGTGGCATTTGTCCTCCAAACTCCAGCATAAGGACCTGAACCATCAGCATTGTACCACCGGTATCCTGACCTAGGTAAAACATGCATTGCAACACACAGTGGCTCTCAAATGATGAAAACGTCATTTACTGTCACTGCTTCCAAAGCCAGTACCCTGATAGCTCAGAAACTCTGACAAACCAACCTGTTACGTTCTCCTGAAGCCAAGTGCTGTTCAGCACGGTCAGGAGAGCTTTGCTGACTGACCCCRATGGGGATCAGCAGATACAAGCAGACTGAAGTAGATCTAAAGCAGAGGTGCTTCCTCAGGTGCCACAGCTTGGCTAAAATATTTCATCTTCATGTTGCCTTAAAAGCCAGGTAAGACTACTCTTGGAGCAATAAACTGCATTTACTGCACCTGAGCAGAAGGCTGCAGCTCAGAGCAGTGAGTGTATCAATGCTGCCTACAAACCTTGGCTTTGGCCACATTCTTTATACAGTGCCCCATCACCCGTAACATACAGGAAGTGAATGCAATATACAGGGGATGCACACTTCATTGACATCGTGGGCAGTCTACTGATAACACCATGAGGAGAAAATTGCTTTTGGTAGTGCTTTTCCTGGTTCTTGACAGGGCAAAAGAATTTACAGGAGGTCCAGAGCTCATATATATCAGTGCAGGGGCTGCACRTACTCTTGTTACACAGAGTATGTCTCTGACCCAGGAACTGGGTCCTTAGCTTTGCTGGCCATGTGCTGCTGGCTGCTGTGTTTTCCTCCTGCTGCCCTGACCTGGGAATAGCCTGCCAAGCAATGGCCTGTCACACCGGGAAGATGAGGAGGTGGATCAGACAAAAAGAAACAAGAGAGGAAAAGCAGCTGAAAGCCAGGGGCAGTTAACAGCTAGCCCTGCGAAGCCTCATGTCTGTAGGGTACAAGAACACTGCCAAATACACATTATCCAAGAGTTTTAACACAATTTATTTTATGCTTAAATAATCAACTAGATCATCCAGTGTTTGTTGTTTTCATACATATGTAATTAGAGCTATTATCAATGAATGCTGTTTCCATATGAATATAATCAACAAATTAAAGTATTTCACCAAAACCCAAATAAAAATGCCCTTTAAAACACAGCAGCCTTAACAACCTAATATTACACTGCTAGGATGATTACAGATGATTGGCTTACTGAAAGATTCTACATCTTATAGCCAGTACACAATACAGTAATAATTTTACAGCGTGCTGCCAGTCTATTAGCTAATAATTTCTCTTCAGTCCATTTAAAAATATCCCAAACTTGTGCTCCTTAGAGCACCAACCCACTTCTAAAGCTGCAAGCATTACCCCCATTATAAAGCGAGAACAGATAGCACCCCCCTCCCCATAATGCAACTACTGTATATGTTATGGGTCTTAGGTMATTTCATTGAAAAATTGGCAACAGCAACAAATATTAGATGAAGGGCTTTGTGTTTACAGATAAAATCTTATTTTTCATGTTGCGGTATAGTGTTTGCAAAACTGGAAAAGATTTAATCAAAATAAGGTGAAACACATGCATCAAAATATTAGTACTCTGAAGAAAAATTTTCACAGAACTACAGAATTCCTCATTTTGGGAATCATTTAAATTTGCAGCAGATTTTAAAGATTTTTTTAAAATCAAGCTAGCGTTTTTTGCATATACAAACATTATAATTGCTAATATACAAGAATCTGTGAAGATACACCCAGAATATCCCTGTAGGTGCAGCCATTTGAGACACCTAGCCTGCTCAATGCATTTGCAATATTCTGTCTGTGATCGAAAAGGCAGTGCCTTATCAACATTTATTCTATTTTGTTAGAATTTATACAGTGTTATTTATTTACAGCAAAACTATTGATGTTTAAAAAAGAAACAAATAGTGTTTTATACCCTGACAGTTTGGGTCCAAGAAAAATAAGGCGAGCTGTTGTGGATTTTAGTAGTTTTAGTGTCTTTCCATGGTTTAACCATTTTGTCTTCGCACATCCTCTCTGGCCACAGGAATTGATTTCTTTTGAGATGACATCAAACTGCTTGAGAGAAGCTGTTAACAGCATGGCATCTTGTATATACACTGCATTGGTAACTGCGCACCCTCCAATCCTGTGAATGAACGTGAATTTCCATGCTCTGTAAATTGGCTCATGCTAAATTAACTTTTTGTTTGGGGTTTTTTTTTTKTTCGTTTTTTTTTTCTTTTTGCATAAAAACCATGCGGTTAATGTGGGGAAGCAGCAAACACACGCACACTTTTATAGGTGAATGTTTAATTCCTGTTGATTTTTCTTCTGTGAGTGTCCCTCTAGAATACTGGCAGTAAAAGCACACAGTCCTGTGGAAAGAAAACAGAGAACAAATCATTTCAGAATATCTCGTTAGAATCAATTTCACGCCTTTTCCTGACTAAACAGAAATGTTGTAATTGGCATGATGGAATTCTGCAAGRGGCTAAACCACACAGTTTCGAGGTAGGCAATGACATTAGCTGAGCTCCCAGCATGAGGGGAAGATGCAGCTGCTGCTGTCCACACTGCTCGTGAACTGATTCACAAATATGTTTGCAACACRCAGCATTTCATCACCCTGGACACAGCACCAGCTCATCAGATCTGATGATGACAAGGAAGAGGTACTCTTATCGTGGAAGGAACAACATCATCCCATCAGACTGAAAGAGAGAGCTGCTGCTTCCGCAGCATGCTTTACTTCATTGCATGCAAGCATCCCCACAGTGACGGAAAACCTGCTCTCCTTGCACATCCACCTCTGCCAGTTGCTCATGAAACGTGACTGGCAGAGCCAGGAATGCAGAGCCCAGCCTTTAGGAGGCTTGGTGAAGGACAAAAGCAAGGACGAGGAGCAGCCCCATCCATCTCCCGCCTGGCTTGCGTGAGCGGCACCGAGGAGGCAGGCTCAGTTCCTGCTCTCTCGCCCTCAAACCAGAGCCACGCACGTAAGGACAGCGAGCCTGTGACATTTGCTGTACAACAGCAGAGAGGGCAGGAAGCAGCATCACAAACAGCCCAGCGAGCGGGAGCTGGAAGAGCCGCGGCTCTCGGGCACCTGGGCACAGGGCAGGCTGCTCGGCAGCGGGGCTGGCGCGCTGCCGGCGGGGCTCAGGCTGCCACCGACAGCCCTGCTCACTAATCAGGTCACAGGTCCACACGCACTCCCCAGGAGMGCTCACGGCTTCCTTCTACGCTAAAGCAATTTGTCCTTGCCCACATCTACAGTTGTCATAAATCTGTCCTGCTGCTGGGAGCTGCCTGTTCCCTCTGCAGCAGTCACGCCAGCTCACACAGTGCTGTCCTGCAGAACTGCACTCAAGAGTTCTTGGCCTCTCCTTTCAATCTGTGCWTCACAATGGGCTTATTTGCAACGGTGACAAGGACATTTCCACAGCAAAATCGTGACTTTTTTCAAATGCTCAAAGGAAAAGAACCACCTCTGCCTCCCCAACAGGATTTTTTTTGGTCTTTTGTGATTACAAAACAAACTGTTTTTAATACAGAATCCCCTGCCTGTACAAATACATCTACTTCAGCATCCAAATTAAATGTTTTCAACAGACTCTTGACCGGGCTCGCAATTACTTAATGCACATTTGGTCATGCTTATCATATCAAAGTTTGGAGCATAGAGATTCATCTTACAGGACAAGGTTCTCCCCTGAGCAAAGGTTCATTATCTAAGGCAGACTCTCTGAGTTTCTCAGGGGCTCTAGCACGGAACACTTGCCTACTGGAAATCACAGGAGAAATGCATCAGTAGTCATAGGAGCAAATCTGGTTCTGAAGAACTCAGACTCCAGCTTCCTGAAGGTCAGACATTAGGCAAAGACTGCCTTATTTATGGCATTTTATTTTAAAATTAAATGCTTCTCTCTTTTCCCTAGTGTGTTTTCATGAAACTTGTATGCGGGCAGGCTCTTTAGCTGCACTGCTTATGGGGTCCAACGCCCCATTTTGCCTTCAATGCCTGAATTCACACATTTCTGCTGCTTTGCCCCTGCAGATTGACAGTGGAGCAGCACAGGACCCAAGGTGGGACACAATTTCATACAAGCAGTGCCATCGCTTGGGCTTGCTGTACTCTCATATCCTTGAGCTCCATAAAGGGGAAAGCTGTGTCAAATGAATCACCTCCCTTTTCCAAACAATAAATATTTTATGAGGACGTTGAGCAGCAAGCCACATGAAGCTGTATTATTCTATTAGCACAGAACAGTCTCCCTTCACAGAAGGATTCTCAGTAAAAGCAGGAATTCAGGTGGATGCAGTAGGTGTTTACCAGATACTGAAATCACAGCAGTCACCTCAGAGAGCTTGCTCCTTGGGGCTTGATCCCATAAATCCCTSAGCTAGATCCCACATACTGAGTGCTGTTTGTCTCAAAAAGCATTACTCACATGTACAGAGTGCCTGTAGGGCCGGGAGCTGTAGGGGGTACCTTACATTGTATCAGTCAGAAGGGACTGGTGACCCAGACTCTGCTTCTGTCTGTYCTTTTCCTCACTATCTGGTGTATTTCCCAGGTCCTGCTTATCCTGTCCTTAAATCCTACAGTCAACCCTATACCATGTGTACAGTAAGAGGATAATACACAGTCTTGCACTTCATAAACTCTTCCTCTGTCCAATTCCTGAAACCCAACAAAGCTGAGACAAGTTCTGAGCAGAAAAAAGTCATGGCTATGGTGAGTCTACACCCTTGGAGCCATGAGTAATGGACCAGCATTGACAGTCATGGATGGGCTCCTCCCCTACCTACAGGCACATCTCCATGTGACTATAGCTGTGCCATCGAGACAAAGCAGCCTCTGGCTTCAGGGTGCTCCACCACATCTTGACAGAGCCCCCTGCAAGGGTGTCTCAGTCTGTGCATTTGGGTTTACCTCGGGAAACCCTTATACCATCASCTGCTGGTTTGCTACAATTGTTAAGGCTGGATCAATAAAATTCACAAGAAACAGTTGGTAGAGATTATTTGTTGGCAAATATTGAGACACCTCACAAGGACTTTGACTTGCATAACTGCCCTCAGATCACATGTCTGACAGTGGAAGAAGCCTTTGACTCATACCAGGTTTATTTGTGTGCATCTCCTTTACTATTTCTGTTTCAGTTTTTATGGATAGAAAGTTTTGTGGACTACTAACACTACACACTGTAAAATTCCCAGAGATCTTGCACGTGCTTTGCTTTATTTTCCAAGAAGTAAAGCTTGATTTCTATACATGAACACAAGGTCATTTTCTGCTTACAAGATCAAGGGCCAGCTATTCASCTCTGCAGCTGGAAAGCAAAGCCAGGGTAGCAGAGGCAAGCCTTTGTGCAGCCCAGGTGCTGGCAAAAGCCTTCAACAAGGGAAGAAAATTGATCACACTGACCGTTCAGTGGTTGGCTTTCAGCTTTCATGAGTAACTTTTCTTCTCCACGTGTCTGACTTCTTTCTTTGTCTTAACCTTATAAGCTTCTCCCTGCTGTAGAGGAAAAGCATAAACATTAACACAGTCTGCAGAGAGCACTCGTAATTGTAAACCTGCTTCCAAAACAGGCTCCACATTTTGCTGTAACAGGATAAGTAACAAGCAGTTAAATCACATTAACACTTCATTTCAAAGACACACACAATCTATTTATCCACTCTGCTGAGCTGCAAAAGCACAGGTCTGAAATATCATCTTCAAGTAGAAAACACAGCTCTACAATTTCAGCCTGACCCCTGGGCTGGGGCACCCGGCTGGCAGTCAGTCCTCAGCAGAGCCGCTGCTGCCAACTGCAGCGGGAGCCGGTGCCACTGACAAGGAAAAGTCACCTTTCCCTGCTGGGGCAGATGGATCGGTGGGCATTCCCAACAGCAGAGGCYGTGGCTGCTCTTATGATGTTTCACAACGTCTGTGCTTTAAAGTGAGCAGGTTAGTAAGGCAATAAAGGGAGGAGGAAGAAAGCCAGCAAAAACCACCACTGAAAGCAGTGCAGAAGTAAAACCGGTGACAGTGACAAGCAGTGCAGGTTTCAGTGTCTTTAAAACAGCAAACCCCAAAATAAAGTTCATCTTTGCTCATTAAAAGTAGCTCAATAATCATCTAAAAATAAATACTGCAGTAATCACAAGCCTCACTCACATCAGAGAAAGGCATCTGTTCGTGTGTGGCTATGGGTAGAATTTACCCCTCAGGTGATCTGCATTGATGTATTTGTAAYTATTTGGCATTTCCAGCTAATCTCATCTGGTGCAGCAAATTGAAAACATTTCCCCCTTGGTGGGCAGCACTTTTTTATTTTTCCTCATAAACAACTAGGAAAGATGGAATGGAAATAAGTTTATTTCCATTCTCTTATATCTGTGACTAGTGTGTCCTCAGTTTTTTTTTTNTTTTTTTTAACTTACTACCAGAAGATAAAGGGTATTTTTTTTATCATCCTTTCTGAATCTGTTTTCACTCAGACAAGACTTTCATTAGCCCCAATGACAGTTTTACTGAAGCAGAGCCCTCTGAGYGTTATGTGCTGGGGAAGAAGGCGTGAGCTCCTCTGAAGCCATGTGTTTGCAGAGGTGTTGCCCACTCCTCCAAGGTCTCCTTGGCATGGAGGACAGCTGAGACTCAGCCTGCCCACTCCTGCTCCTGTCACTGAAGGCCTCTGCAAGCGGGGCTGGGCTGTGCTGGCACATAATATCCTACTCTCTCCACTGTCCTCTCATTTTCAGGGTGATAAACCTGGACATAGTCCAGTCCTGCAGACCGCTTCCAGTTTTGATCCCCAGGGACAAAATCCTGTGTTGGTGCTTGCTTGTAAAGGATTCCACTTGTGGGGTACATTCCCATTGCCCTGAATCCTGCAAACCCTCGGCCACCAGCAGCAGGAGTATCACACAGGTGAGTGAGAGGCTACTGGGGATCAGACTGCAGCTTGCTCCTTTGGGCTGGTGGAAAAGCCACAAAATCCACCACAGCTGTAAGGCACGGATTCTGCAAGGGCTGAACCAAACACACGGACACGGCTCAGCTGGCACAAAGCAGCCCCCAAATCCAYGGCTCAGCCTGGGCCTGCTGTACACAAACAGCCCTTGATGCCCTGTGCTGGCAGAGCTGGGCTGGGCTCCCTGGCACCGCCCCTGCCCCGCGACCCCAACGCACAACTTGCCCGTAACCGCAAGCACCACACTTTTTGCCAAGGCTTCTTGTTAAATGCAAACCTCCAGCCCTTTAGCAGCACTTTCTAGCAGTCAATACAACCCTCTGCGTCTACTGTTATTTCCTGGTAGTCCCCGTTGCATTACCATTTCACCAACTTTCCTCTCATGGGGGATAACAACGCGTCTTACTACCTTCCGGGTGATCTGTGGGAAGTAATACATGAAAAGCATCGATATTTTTTTTCCTAGATTGTAAAKGGAGAAAGTATGTTAAAAGAAGTTACTTGAATGCAAAGATTCAGAGCAGTGATGTAATTCATGATTACTTTTCTCGTGATGACGTTGCCTTCTTCGTCGGTAAACTGTTCCTCTGTTACAGATTCACCAGGAATGTTTTTTGCTTCCTCACCCTAAAGAACGTGTTATAAGATTAGCAATAGAGYCTATATTCTGTCAAACCCACACATATTTCCACACCAATCCAAGCAACAAGCACATGCTAGCTTCAACTTTATGTAACAATTTGCTYCATGTCACACAAATTATATGAAAGCCTCGTTCATTTAGCAATGCCAACACCCGAGCGCTTATTCCACACAGTTTCCTAAAGCCTGCAAGGAGCTTCTAGCACTGTACTCAGTAACTACTGCATGTCAGGACTCTCTGGGCAAACTCTAGAGCTCAGTCTGAGTCCTATGAGACAAAGGCACAAATTTGTGATGCTATATTCTCTCATCAGACAACCCTTAGCTTTTCACAGCCTCTCAGTGCCTGGCAGAAACATTGCCTAACATGGGGGAAATTGGGGACTGAGAAAAACAGCTCTGCCTATAGCTTGCTAAACATGAGGTCTTAAACACACACACAGAAAACAGACAAGACTTCTTGGCATTTACAAAACAGAGGAATTTGTCTTATGTGACACTGCCCAGCACAGTGCCACCATGCCAAGGAGCCTCGGTGGCCCAGTCCATGACTTACTGAGTTCAGCAGCACTCCAGCYGTCACTTCTTGCAGTACCAGCAATTTATCAGACCAGTGTAAACAAATGTAAAAGCAGTTTCCTAACTGCTGTGCCAATGACTTAATTCCACTAAGAGAATTATTGCTCAAATTATAAATTTTTGGCAGTCACGAACTTACGTTCTGAAAGAACTTTGCGGACTTTACCTCATAAAGTCACGTTTCCAAACCTGGGAGCCCTGCTTTTGATGCTTCAAAAACATCCATTGTCTGTGCTTATATCTTTCATATAAGTAAGGCAAACATAACAAGAATGTAGCTGGCCAACATATAAAAATATTCCACTTGTAAATAAATAACCCAAACAAACAAAAAAATCCTTTAAAATTTTCTTCTCCCCTCACCCCACTACGGAAAAAATTAGAACCAGAGGGAGGAAGCAGAAAGAAACGTTGTATAAAACACATTATAACAATATTAACTACAAACTAACATTTGAAAGGAGACGATCACACTCAATATCAAGCTTTTGTAATGCTTCCACCTACTAAACAACACAGGGCAAATATAACTTCTATTTACTGCGGACTATACACTAAACAGTTGTCTACATAAGCTCCTGGCAATGCTCTATAACAAACAAATATAGTGATGCCTTGTCTATTTTTTTTGAAAACCGTTTTCCCTACTAATGCAGCTTTTTCAATATGTACATTGTAACATTAGGATCGCATGCTATTTCTAAGCTCTAAACAAAACAAATCTTTCCTTTTGTTTACAAGCCATTTGTGGTCCTTTTTAGCCAAGCTTTTCCATTTTTCTCGCTTGGAGAGGATGGCAGCAGGCAGGAACCAGGGGGAAGTACTGCAAATCAACACTGGTGTTTTTCTTCACAAGTACAGAATTTCTGCTGGTTTCTCATTGAAAGTTGCCACCTTTTCACATTGAAAATGATGACAAGAAGTCACCACTTGATAATTAAGCAATGGAGCAGTTTCAGGCATCTTACACATCTTTTCCCCCAGGCTTTCACAGGCTGTTAGCAAACTGTAAGACTTGTTGAACTTTGGTGCTTCAGGAAGCATCACCAAGAGAAGGGCAGGSTCCACAGCCAGGTGGATTCCACCGCATAGGGACAGAAGGATGAGGTCCTTACACATGCCTGAGGCTGAAGGGACCCAGCTGAGGTCCCCAGGCCAGGGAGTGTGGTGTCCCTACAAGAACTGAAGCCTTCAGCTGGAGCCTGAACAATGCCTTCTCCAGAAGGACTCTGAGGAGGGTCTGCCTGAGCACTGCAGCAGGTTCTGTGCAACAGGAGGGAAGTGTGAGCTCGGTCCCTGTGGTGAGTGGGGCCCCAGTGGCAGCGGCTGCTTCCTTTCTCATGAGAGAGGCAGCAGAAACGAGAACGGGACGGGACTGCCAGGGGGGCAGTGACTGGATAAAAGGTTGGGAACTGAAACCTGTGGGGTTTCCTACTCACAGAGAGATGGGAGGGGGAAAAACTGATTCTGGAGACTTCACACTTCAATCAGACGGGGAACTGGCTGCACCATTTCCTTCCTGATTGTCCACGCGTGGGTTCAGAGACTCCCCAGCAGGGTCCAACATAGTGCCCTAAGGATTAGGAGGGAACCCTGGCCCAGACATCCCATGGAGCACAGAGGCATGGAAAGGTTCTCTCTCATGAGTAGGATCTCCAAAGCCACTACAATAAAACCCATGAAAACCAGAAATAAAAACACATGGCCAGTAGCAAGGTCACCAGACTACTTGGCACAGCAACACCGCTTATGTGCAGTGGTTCTGTGACTCCCTACTGCAGCTATGAGCAAGGTTAGAACAATCTAGTGAGAATTACTGTGCTCAGCTTTAAAATGAAAAGTGTACTGCTCCACTGAAAGATGCCTCTCRAAAGAAAACGCAGTTTTAAAAGTGTGGTGAATCTTGGGTTTTAATTAGCTACATGCTCCTTTAAGCACAATTTAATGATAAATGCTGTAAATACTCAGCAGTCAGYACACGTGAAATCCAGCTTTCATAATTCTCTTGCTGGTGGGTAGTTAAACAAATTGCAGGAGGGCTCACAACTGGCAGGAGGTAGATCTGATTTACTGACTTTTCTAATCCTATGCAGTTACAAAGATGAACATTTGCTAGGAAAAATCCCCTACCCACCAGCAGTTTTAGTTGTAAGATCTCAAACCAGCATTAGGTTAGAATGGCACATTAGATGACCTTGTCAACAAAAGCTGTTTTTAAACACAAAGCTGGTGCATCTGCGTCACAGCTGAAGAACAAAATTCTTTCCGCTGCATCATACTTATGTGGGCTTCATTTTACCCTTGACCAGTCAAAATCACTGTCACAATACCAAAAGCT